TTAATTCAAGAAAATTTATGTATAAATTTGATATTGTTAAACCTTTACTGATCGATAAAATTAAAATTTATTTAATTACTAAGTTCTATATATATGTGTGTGTGTGTATATAAGCACACATATATTTGTATGTGTGTGCGCGCATGCATGCGAGATTGTGTGCATGTGTGTGTAATTTTAATTAAGAAAAATTGACCACAAGAGGTCAGTTTCATTGAAATAAATTAATAAACACCGACCTCAAGAGATCAATTTTAATTTATTATTTTTGTTTAAATAATTTCGACTTCATGATCTCAGTAATTATTAAATATTTTTAAAAATAGATAATTATGTCAAAAGATATTGACACACCGTGGTCAGTAAATTAACATTTTTTATAAAAAGAATGATAATTAATTTCCCTTTTTTCTCAAAACCTTATATCTCTCGCTGCTAAATCAAGCCACCTCTCTCACATGCGCCACACCCCCGATCAACCCTAGGGCCACGACACTTGATCGTCCCCGGAACCACGCCACCCATCCCCCGACTAGCGCCAGTGCATATGTGTAAAAATTATATATAAATGTTTGTGTGTGTGCGCGTGCGCGCACGTGCATGCGTGTGTGTGTGTCGTATTAAAATTTGTAAGCCCAAGTATACAATGGATCTTTCGTGATGTTGTATGCAAAAGGTAAAATAATAATCTATTAAAAATGTAAGAAATATGTTGATTGTAGGAGATTATATATACTCGTTGAGTAGTTTAAGCTATGAAATACATTATCAATTAAAGAAACACCAATGATCAATTCCAGAAGATTTATGTATTAAATTTGATATTGACAAATCTCTCTTGATCGATAAAATTAAAAATTATTTAATTAGGATATATAAATATGTATATATATTTGTGTGTGTGTGCGTGTGTGTGTAATTTTTATTAATAAAATCTACTTTAAGAGTCAATTTATTTAAAATAAACTCATAAACACCGACATCATGAAGCTAATATTTGAATTATTGTTTTATTTAAACAATATCAACTTCTTGATGTCAATAATTATTAAATATTTATAAAAATGGATAATTATGTTAAAAGATATTGACATCCCGTGGTTAGTAAATTCATACTTCTTTTAAAAGAGGAATGATAATTCTTTTTCACGTTTAGCTCAAAACCCTACCACTCTCACTCCTAAATTTGGCCACCCCTATCACATGTGCCACACCCCCGATCGACCTAAGGGTCACGCACCTTGATCGAGTTCGGAACCACCCCACACATCAACCGACTAGCGCCAGTGCATGTGCGTCAAAACTTGTGTGTGTGTGTGTGTATGTGTATATATATATATATATATATATATATATGAGGGTGTGTGCGTGTGTGCGTTCGTGTGTGTGAGCATTAGTGTGTGCATTGTATTAAAGTTTGTAAGCCTGAATTTATAATGGATCTCTCGTGATGTTGTATACAAAATATAAAATAATAATCGATTAAAATTTATTAAATACGTTGATTGTATGAGATTATATATACTTGTTGAGTAGTTCAACAAATCAAGTCTTGTATATTAATGGTTTAGATATGAAATATATTATCAATTAAATAAATATCAATTATAAATTCAAGAAGATTTATGTGTTAAATTTGATATTGATAAACCTTTGTTGATCGATAGAATTAAAATTTAAAATTTATTCAACTAAGGGGTTCTCTCTCTCTCTCTCTCTCTCTCTCTCTCTCTCTCTCTCTATATATATATATATATATATATATATATATATATGGGCGTGTGTAAATGAGCATGTCTGCGTGTGTGTTGGTTTTAATTAATAAAATCGACCTCAAGAGGTCAATTTATTAAAAATAAATTAATAAACACCGACCACAAGATGTCAATATTTAAATTATTATGTTACTTAAATAATATAGATTTCATAATGTCAGTAATTATTAAATATTTTTAAAATAGATAGTCATTTAAAACATATTGACATCACGTGGTTAGTAAATTAACAGTTTTTTAAAAAAATGAATGATAATTATATTCCCTTTTATCTCAATACCCTACATCTCTCACTCTTAAATCTTGGCACCTCTCTCACCTGCGCCACACCCCCGATCGACTCTCAGGCCACACCCCTTGATCGACTCTCGGGCCACGCCCCTTGATCGACTCCGGAACACCACTCCACCCTTCCCCCGACTAGCGTCAGTGCACGTGCGTCAAAACTTTTATATATGTAAGTGTGTGTGTGTGTGTGTGTGTGTGTAATTTTAATTAATAAAATTGACCTCAAGAGGTCAATTTATTCAAAATAAATGAATAAACATCGACCTCTAGAGGTGAATGTTTAAATTTATATTATATTTAAATAATATCGACTTCATGATCTTAGTATTATTTAATGTGTTTAAAAATAGATAATTATGTTAAAACATATCGACATCCCGTAGTCAATAAATTAACACTACTTTTAAAAAAGGAATGATTATTATTTTATCTTTCATCTCAAAACCCTACCTCCCTCACTCCTAAGTATGACCACGTCTGTCACCTATGCCACACCCCCAATCGATCCTAGGGCCACGCCCCTTGATCGACCCCGGAACTACGCAAACTCATCCCTCGACTAGAACCAGCGCACGTGCATCAAAACTTGTATATATTTATTTTTAAGGATGTATTGGGCGTAAAAAAAAGTCTTAGATTAGTTTGGAAAAGTTAGAATTACGTTTAGGTCTTGGAGAAGAGACAAAAGAAGAAAGAAGTTAAAAGTCAAGTACAAAAGTTAAGAAGTAAGTTAAAGTAAGTTCTTAAAAGTTTTCTAGAGTCTTTAACAATGTTTTTAACTTTTTTTAAGACTCAAATTTCAAGCTAAGTAAAGATTGTCACGCCCCGAGCCTACACCCTGGACATGGTTGGCACTTAATGACCATTGTTGGCCTTGAGCGGACCATTGCCTAGCTTACTTAACTCAGGGAAAGAAGTAACTCAATGAAAATAGTTTCAATAACTTAAAGTAAATATATTGGCAAAAATAACACTTAAGTCTTATAACAAAATATCAGAATATAAGAAAAGACAAAACAACTAATAAATGTGTCCTCTAGAAAGCAAGTAGGCTCACCACTGACTCCAAGTGCTCAGCTAGATCAACGAGGCGTTGGATGTTGCTTATCCTGGTTACCTAAATCTGTATCATGATACTATGCAGGAAAATGGCGTCAGTACATTTAATATACAAGTATGCTAATTGGAATGCTAACAACAACTTAAGCATGAAAAAGAATAAGAAGGAACACTTACCTTGGCTCTGCTCAACTCATGAATAACTTGACTTAATATAAAGCAATTGAACACATGCAATATATAAAGCTTGTAAAACTATGAAAAATACTTCGTTCGTTGAAGAAATGCAATAACAAACTTACTTTACTTTTATATGAAATAATATAGTTTCTGTGGGAGATTCTCTAATCGAAAACCAGCTCTATGAGCCTAAGTGGTGATACAGTGTCTTTCCTACGCTACCAAAAATGTGCTATACTTTTGTTGTCGCATAAAACTATTTAACTTAGTGGATCCACTAGTTTAACATATGTGATCATCTAAAAAGTATGACCTAGTAATACCCATTATGCTAAATGGTTTATGGAGACTTGAGTTATTATGAACTCAAGTTATCATATCGGTGCTCAATACTACTCATAAAAATATACTTAGCTTATGTGTTTTAACAACAACTTCCTCCTTTCGGTTGACTTAGATTTAAAAAGCTCTTTTGGAATCAATGTTCCCTTTTCTTGATCAAAACTCTTTTGGAAATCTTAGTTTCCTCTTATCTTAAATGTGAAAACATTTATAGACTCTCAGGGAATACTTAGTTCCCTTATAAATTTTGAGAAATGAACTTAACTCTACTCTTTACATAGATTGAAATTTGAGTCTTAAATAAACTTTTAGGGAATTTAGTTCCCTTATACTTCTTTGAAGGAATGACTTAAACTCTTTACTGTTTACTTAATTTGAAACTTGAGTCTTAAAAAAAGTGAAAACGTTGTTAAAGACCCTTGAGAACTCTTAAGAACTTTACCTTAACTTGCTTCTTAACTTCTAGATTTGAATCTTAACTTATTTAACTTTGATCTTAACTTTCGATGATTTGGATTATGGATCGAAGGTTCATGATATCATGTTTATTGATGATTTTATTATGTTTAGATGTACGGTTAGAAATCACCTATGTGAGTGTCAAGTATAAGTCGCTTCAAAGAGAATTTTATGTCAAAAGCCCATTCTTTATGCACTCATGAACCTGGAGGTGTTCATGACTGAAATGAATACAACCATAAAACCATAAAAGATAACGGGTTAATTGTGTGACATATGGTTTTCTAGGTATACACCAAAGCTTGATAGTTCAAAGATATCGTTGTCACGCCCCAAGCCTACACCCTGGACTTGGTTGGCACTCGAAAACCATTGTTACCGGGTCACCGGACCGGAATGAACCTGTACTGGACCAGTTCGAAATCCGTTGACCAGTATGTTGATCGGTACCGGGATGAATCGGACCAGAATCACCGGGATGATTCATCGATTCTGTCCCGTTTCACTATATATCGGGATGGAACCGAAATAAACCGGAACGGACCGGAATGGAACGGGACGGGATTAACGGGACGATATTTTTTAAATTACGAAAATAAAATTTATTTTTATTTATTTTTTAAGTATAAATTAATAGTTATTAAATTTATACTATAATTTTTTACTTAAGTTTATTTTAAAGATATTTTATTAATTTTTTTGTTATTGTTAAGTTTGCAAGTAAAGTCTAATAAAGTTTTCAAAATTTAAATCTTTTGAAGTTTATACTTTATAAGTTATTACTTATATTCATTAATATTTATTTTATAAGTTATATTTATAACTTGTATCTTGTAAATATTAAATAAATAAAATTTGTAATTTTAAAAAAATTAAATTAAAATAAGGATAAAACAATTACAAAAATTAAAAAATATCAATTTAATTTATTTAAATTTGTAACAAATTACAATTTCAATTTACAACTATTAGTAGAGTACATAGCTTACGCAGCCACCTTCTAGGAAGGGTTCTGTTTCAACTATATCTCGAATGCAATACTAATAGTTGTATAGTCCTGTAAATCCTCTTTCTAACTCAAATATGGATTGATTGTGATCAACTTCTGGTCTTGGTAAAGCTCGTTGACGATCTTGAATTTTGATGCCATCATCACTACCACATTCAATAGTTGAATCTATGAAAAGTTCAAATTGACTATCTAACTTTGGAAGTCCTTGATTTCTACGCTCAGCATTTATCCAGTCTCTAAATAACACTGATATCTCCAAGTTGTCTTCTGCTAACGAATATCTGTGGTCTCCAATTTGAAATCTTGCCCGCGCTGAAAGTTGCCTTTGAAGCTACTGATGATCTTTGAATTGCAAGCACATCCTTCACCATCCTACTAAGTTTTGGAAATTGATCTCCACGATTCCTCCACCAGTTCAATAGTTCCGGTATACCATCATCGTTTGTGATATCATCTGTACCCTGTTCAAGATATTTAACAAATTCACATTTATTAGAAGAGTCAAGACCAAGTTTATGTTTCACTCTTCCATGATCACCTACTTGATTCATAGACGTTTGAGGATCTTCAACATTGTCTAAGAATGAATATTTATCATACATTTCTTTTGCAAAGAATTTTATACTATTTTGACATGTTACCAAATCAGGTTCTTCTTCAGGTTGAATATCTAAATTCTGATAAATGCATTCAACTAAAGCTTTTGCACCATATTCTTTATATTCGGGGTTGAAAAGAATTGCAGTTAAATAAATTTGAGGAATAGTAAAAAAATATTTTATAAATTTTGTAATCATAACTTCAATAGCAGAGGTGAATAAAGTATTTGTTTTATATTAAAAAAATAGATAAAATCTCATATATGTGTATTAAAATTTCAGAAATAGTAGAATAATACATTCCAAAAAAAATTTTAGTAGCATCATAAAATGATTTCAAAAATATTCTAAGTTCATTTACTTCACCCCAATCACTATCATTAATTTTTAATTCAGGATAAACATTATGATTATTAAAATAGCGTAGTAATAGGTTGCCTATATGCATAAGAACCTTCAAGCATATCATAAAAGAAATTCCATCTAGTTTTTACATGCTTCGGAACTTTTCTAAACGGAAGTTTAAATGCATTACAAAGTTCTTTAAATTGATTAATTCTACTACTACTATTCATATGAAAAATGTAAAAACAAGCATTATCAATTTTATCACAACTATTTTCAAATAATTTCACACCGTCACTAACAACCAAATTTAATATATGTGTGGCACATCTAACATGAAAAATATATTTACTAATAGGACAAAGTCTAGGTTCTAGCATATTAATAGCATTTAAATTAGAAGAAGCATTATCTAAAGTAATACTAACGACTTTATCACAAAGACCGAAAAAATCTAAAATTTCCAACACAGTAGTAGCAATATAAATTTAGGTTTTTTTCTTTTGACAAATTTTATAACCAATAATTCTTTTTTGTAAATTCCAATTATAATCGATCCAATGCGCAATAACATTTAAATAATCAAAACCATTAGGACTACGACCCATATCAGTAGTAATAGCAACTCTACAATCCATTAGTTCAAAATAGGCACGTAAATATTAACAACGTTTTTCTTGAAATTCGAAAAATATCTCTTTTTACCATGCTTCTTGATAAACCTTTAAAACTAGGATTATATGTTTCACGAATGTAAGCAATAAAACCCGGATGTTCTCCAAAACTAAAAGGTAAACCACAAACAACAACCATTTTAGCAAAGTTTTCACGATCACGATCCTTGTTATAGATTCGATGTGTAAGAGGACCACTTGGGTTCGAAGTATTTAATTCACTTTGAACCATATTTGATCCTCTAACCGATTCTTCAACTTTACAATTTTCAACAACTTCAAGAGAAGACATATATGCAAACCACTCTTTACTATGCTTGTTAATCAAATGATTTTTTAATCCCCCCGTTGAACCTCCAATCCCACCAGATGTATATTTAAAATGTTGTTTCCAAAGATTACATATACTCAAAGTTTTTTCTTCATTCAAATAACAAAATTTCCACACATGTGATTTTAAAGAACGTTGTACCTTGGTCTTACCTCTAGTTGGAATAATAGGGGGACGAGTAGTTCCAACCGGAGGTGGAGCTTCAACACCTATACTATTGACTGTATTGAGGTCGGGGGCGGGGCTAGTCGATGTATCATCTAAATCTACTTCTTCATCTAAATTTAATTGTTCATCCATTTTCACTTCTTCATTTTCTTGATTAATACCATAATTTCTTTCATAGAGTTCATGGGGAATCATAGGAGTATCCGAATTAATATTTATAGGATCGGGACGGGAAAATTAATTTCATTCACATGCGTAAATTCATCTGTATTCATTCTAACAAGAGGAATTTTAGATTTAAAAGAACTAGCACCTTTATTAGTTTTTTTAACTAATTTTTTTACTCATTCTACTAGACCTTTTTTACATCCACTTTTTTTAGAAGACTCCATGATATAAAATTATAAATTACAAAATACGAAACTTAACAAGAACAATAATATAACAAGAACAACTTACAAGTTAAATAATAAATACAAAAAATAAATATAAGATTAGAGAGTGGAAGAAGTTACCAAACGTTTGTGTAAGAACAAACGATTATAATGAAAATTAAAATATTGATGGCGAAACTTGAAATTTGAAGAAGATTCCTCCTCCGAAATACACCAAATGACCAAATGATATAAAGAATTTAGAACTGAATTGAATATTGAAAATTTGAAATTTTAAAATTTATAATTTGTAATTGCTAAATCTTGTAAGTTATAAATATGAATGGAATTTGAAAATATATATTCTCTCAAATACTCAAACTTATATTTGTAAGTTGTAATTTGTATATAAAATTTTTAGAAATCAACTCTAATTTATAAAACAAAAAAATTAGCCGTTTTAAATTTTTCCGTTTGAAATGGCCGTTGGTCCGGGTCTCAGGAAAAGGGTAGGGGCGAGGGGCAGGGGGCTGGGCTGCAGTTGCAGACAGCAGTGCACTGCAGCTTTATCAAAAGCTGCAAGAGTGCAAAGTGCAGACTGCAGACTGCAGGGGTGGGCAGGGGCGGGTATTTTGAAATATAAAATATAATTTATAAAAATATAAATATAAATTATATAAAATATAAAATATAAAAAAAATTAATATATAATAAATAAACCGAACCGAATCGGACCGGAACCGGAATGAACCGAGATGAACCGGTACCGATACGATGTCACGGTTCCGTCCCGTTTCGTGTACCGATTCAGACTATCCCGGCCCGTCCCGTAGGCAACCAAAACGGAACGAACCGGAACGGTACCAGTACGTCACGTTCCGTTGACCAGTCTTAGTTGGCCCCAAGAGAACCCTTGGCATGGCTTACTTACTCAGCGGAATACTTAAAGCATTAATACAAGGACTAATATGTTAACTAACTCAACTGGTTAGAACTGAATTCATAATGTTTTAAAAATAAACATTTACCTTAGCCAAAATGGCAACTCAAATTCGAAAATAAGTTAATAACAAAAGTATGACAAAAAAAACTAATAATTGACTCACTACCTATGAAGCCTCTAATAACTGAGATGGATGGATGTTGGAACAGACCCCACAACATCCTAATGAGCTAAACTAGAAAGCAATAAAAATGGATCCTCCTAAAACCAAGGAGGTTCACCAATTGACTCTGAACTGCTCATTGGATTAACGGTGTGCTGGAATGTCGATCCTAGTTACCTGCGTCTGTATCATGATATGATGCAGGCCAACTGGCATCAGAATATTGAATGTACGAGTATGTGAGTTGGAATGCTACACAACAACTTAAGCTTGAAAGGGATTAATAAGGCACACGTACCTTGGTTGTGCTTAACTCATGAATAACTAACTCGTTTTATTATATAACAGTTTATAAACAATATAAAGAAAAGCTATTTAAAACATGGTTTTCAACTTTGTGTATGCAACAATACAATTGACTCTGATATTTATGTAAATATACAAAATAATCTGACGCAAACTCAAAATCTTAATAATAAAGAAAACATATCATGCTTCCTCTCAAAATCTACTCATGCAATGCATGAATGAAGTCTCATACCCCCATTTATACTAAGCAGAACCTCTTGAGAAACTATGCAACTACAGTTATGGGAGTTTCTCTAACCAAGAACCATCCCTTAATAGTTATATCTCACGCTGCCAAAGACCATCCTAAACCTGCCAGAGTATAGGACTTTAACTGCCTAATGGATCCACTAGTAAACTGTGAAAAGGATTCATCTAAAAAGTATGACCCTTTTCCACCCATGATGGATGGCTACATGATTTTCATGGAGACTTGAGTTAATCTAAAACTCACATCCCACATCGGTGCTCAAAACTACTCCCAAAATATACTTATCTTGTATGTTTTGAAAACAACTTTTCCTGTGATTTGAGATTAACGCTCAAAAACATAGCTCAAAGTCTATCTTTGAAATCATAGTTCCCTACTTTCTTTGGAAAGCAAGTAGGGCAAATGTGTGGAACTATGATTTCCAAGATAACTCCGTTCTATACCTACTTATGGAATGTCTTTAGTTTCTACCTCAACATGCCCCTTTGATCTTGTATGCCAAAACACGTAGTTCAACTTTCAACCATTTTTAATGTACCTTAATGTTGAATAACATCAACATACTCTTAAATGGTTTATTCTCTGTTAGTTTTGCTAACCACTATTTGCATGTTATATGGTTGGGTGATTTTACGTGAAATTGTCCCTCTTATTGAATTAGCAAGATTTCATGTGGCACCGTTGACATGGGACGCCACAGTTATAGAGTTAGAAAGTAGTGATGAGAAGTACTAATTTTCCAGAATCTTGTAACGACCTGTGTCCCTCTTATTGAATTAACCACTATTTGCATGTTGTATGGTCTTGGCCAGCACTCAAGACCATTGTTGGTCCCCAACCGAACCCTCATCCAGGATGACTACAACTGGAAGACTAACTTAAGCATGCAAAAGCTCATAATCTGAATAAAAATTCGTGAAATTGAAATACAAAACTTTATCTCAAAAGAAAACTTTGAATAATATAATATGTTCAATTCGCCATAACACAGGCAACCTAATTCTTTTAAAACATTTAACAAAATAAATGATTGATAAAGACTCCTCAACTATACTGATTATCTATGAAGCCATAATAATGGAAGTCGGGACAAGACCCACAACATCCTGACTAAATTGAAAAGTAAATCAAAATCCTCCGAAAATAAGGAGGCTCACCATAGCTAACTCGATCTCTTGGATGAATCAATGAAGATCTTGTTGATAGTCCTAAGTACATGTGTCTACATCATCAAAAGATGCAGGACAAAGGGCTCAATACGTGGAATGTATGAGCATGTAAGGGAAATTCTAAAGCATAAACATAAGCTTGAACTTGACAAAATGGAAACATGCTTACCTCTTTTCAAACTTACTCAACTCCAGGAATACTCAAGGATACTCAAAACTACTCAAACTTACACAAATCTGAAGTACTCAAGGATAAAACACTCAACTTGAAATACTTCGCTCATGGAACTCAAGGATAATGCACAGTAAAAGATGCAATACATCGAAAGCTTTATAAGACGGTAAAAGCAACTTCATTTGTTAAAGAAAATGCAATAACAAACTCAATTGTACTTATATAATAAAGTAATATAATTTTTATGGGAGTTTCCCTAACCGACAACCATCACTTAAGAGTAGTAGTGATGATACAACACTTTACCTCAAGTTGCCAATGATCATCTTATACCTTGCCATCAGCATAGGACCTAACTTAACTTATTGGGTACACTAGTCTATTCTGAAAAGGATTCATCTAAAAAGTATGACCTTTTTCTACACATGGTGGCTACATTGTTTTATGAAGATGTGAGTTATCTGAACACAAGCTCACCCTATTTCGGTGCTTAATACTACTTCTAAAATAAAATAGCTCTTACGTTTAAAAACATATTCTTCCGTGATTTGAGATTACTGCTCAAAAACTTAGCTCAAAGGCTAACTTGGAAATCTCAGTTTTCCTTGTTGCTTCATTTAGAAAGCTATTACTCTTTTCTAAAAACTATCCCGAATGATCTTTGGAAATCTTAGTTTCCATTCTTATTTAAATGTGAAAACATTTTAAATCTCTTTAGGAATACTTAGTCCTCATATACTTTTGAAGAAATGAATTTCAAGTTTACTCTTTACTCTTTACTCTTTACTCTTTATTCAACTTGAACTTAAGTCTTAAAATAAAGTTTAAACGTTTGTAAAAGACTTTTGAGAACTTTATAAACTTTACTTTGACTTACTTCTTAACTTCTAAACTTGACTCTTAACTTTCCTTGAGTTGAAGTATATATTAAAGGTTCATGATCTCATTTCTATTAATGATTTCATTATTTTTAACTTGGAGGATTCATGCAGAATTATGAGCATGAACTACTCAACTCCAGAACTCGAAGGTACTTATCATCTCAAGAATGTCCGATTTATAGGATTCATATGAAATTATGGGCATGAAATATTCAACTCAAGGACTTCATGGGTAACATGTAATAGTCCAACGATTAGAGATATAATCTCAAAGAAGATTAGGAACTCAATACTTGAGACTTAGAACTTGAAAATACTACTCATCTAAATGGTACTCAAATTTATGGAGTCAATGCGGAACTTATGGGCTTTAATGACTCGAGTCGAAGGTCTACATAACTACATCGAGCTCATGTATACAACTCTTCTCATTTTATTACTTACTTCCTCAAATCATTAGTTCATCTCAAAGAATTCACAATTGAACTCAAAGGCTTCCTTGAATTTTACTCTTAACTCTCTCTTGAATGTAAATTATGAATTCAAGAGTTATGGTTCATGATATAAAGGATCTAAGTTATATTATAGACTCATGAGTACATTCTCCTCACTCTAATGCTCACTTACTAGAGTCTTGAAACAAGTTATTAGAATTTGTAGAAGACTCCACCAAAGAGACTTAAAGGGATTTTCTGAAAAATGTTTGAAAGAACTCTCAAGACTTGACTCTCAACTCTACCTTGAAAGTGATTTATGAATTTAGGGTTTTGATTTGTGTTAGGAAAGGTCTCATAATGTTTAGGAATGATTTTAGATAACTAAAAATGAGAAAAAGACTGAAAACCAATATTTGAGAGTTGGTGCGCGATGCGGAGAGGCTTTTAAAAATTGTTTTCGAAAATGTCTTTTGAAGCAAAACAGCTTGGGTCAGCTCCGCGAAGTGAAAATATATATATTGACAAGACTAATAGTGAAAATAAAAATAAATAATAAATATATATTTTGACAAGACTAATAGTGAAAATAAATCTAAGTAATAGATATATATTTTGTAAATAAAAGAGAAATGATTATCTTTGGGGAATTAATTAAGTTAAGTCAAAATGTTAAGCAACATAATAATAAATAAATAAATAAATAGAATAGGGGAGTAAGTTTGAATTTGGACCCTTTGTCCCAATTTTAAATCTGATGGGCTTTTGGCCCAAAAACTGTCTTGCATTGGCCCCTTTTCACTCTCAAACACCTCTGTATAGAACAATTGTATATTTTCGTATATAGGCCATATTTTGACTGATTTTCATGTACATTGGAATGCATACCAAGTATATGCATCCCTCTTCAAATCCTTCGACCTATATTTCTATTTTAAGTTTTGTTGCAATGCACCTAAGACTGTATATCATGTATACATCATTTGTATACCACTGTATATAGCAGATATATAGAATGTTTTCAAACTTTCCAGGGCTTGGAATCAGAGTTTACCGCTTGATAATAAGTTCCCTTTACTTAACAAAGGATCTTTTCACTTGAATTAAAGTTAATAGAGCGAACAAGAATTATTTCACACAAAGAATTAATATCTAGGTGCTCAAATGAAAAATAAAACAAAATGCATAGTGTATAAATCAATGATCATGACTAAGCTTCATATTTGCAGTAACAGACGGCATAAACCAATAATAACATATACATTACTAGAAACCATAAGCATAGCCTTGTATATAACACTTAGTCACAACAATAATATCAAATCAATATTGAATACATAAAACTTGGTACTAATGACTCAAATAAAATCCTACTTTTTAGCTAATAGCTACTACTTTCAAATAAGACATATCAAAATGAAGGAGGGATATGTATAACTTTTTCTTGTTTTAGAAATAAAATAAAGTCATATTCAGAAATGTGGTCAAATCTTATAGATACAGCAAACTTAAGTTAGAAGAATGAAACTAGAAACACAACAAATGCCACAAGGACAAAGTGAAACAAAGCATACATTCCGAAGTAGACTCAACGAAGAAACAAAATAAAAAAAAATTGAAACGGTTAGTAACAGACACAATATAAGAACTTGAAATGTTGACATCGTAATTCATGTGTTCATGGCGATCAAAAAATTTAAGCAGTAAAACAAATAGAAGAGCTTGACAACTAGACTATAAAGGAAGCTAAGAACATAAAGAAAGCTAAAGGGGAAAGAACAATATAGCCAATATATTAAAAGTGTAAATCACATAAATGTTAATAGCACGACCAACATGAATCAAAGCAAACTTTATTGATTTCGGATTAAAGCTTGTTGTTCAAAAATACACAAGAAAAAAAAAATACCGAATGCACATAATATGCCACATTGAAACGGAATACAAAAGGAAACGTCAATACCTTTCTCAAGCCAGCGAAATGAGACCAAACGAGTACGGACAAGCTCTTCCACCACACAAGTTCGAATCTCGAGTAGCTCACCACGAAATGCAAACAAGACTGGAACAAAGGTTCTCTCACAACTTAGGATTAAAGAAAACATATAAAAGTTCTTGAATATAAATGTGACTATTCAAAAAAACTTCCATACTTTTTTCCCCCAACTCACTGTAACTATCTCCAACCCTTTTCCCTCTACTAGTTCCCAAATTTCCTCTGCTTTTTTCTCCAACTCCCAGCAATAAAGAATGAACCGATATTTATAAGGGGAGAATTAGGGCAGAAAGAGGGGGAAACCGATTGAATTTTGAATTTCAAATTCGAATTCTCTTCAACGGGATAAGGTTGCCAGCTCAAAAAATTGTACACCTCTTCAACGGATTGATAATAGTAGTCATTTGCTTTCTGAAGAAAGGACAAAGGCAATGGGAGATCTCAACACCTGGTTTCCGTGCAAACAGATAAGGAGAGAGGGAGGGAACGATGCTCTAGGTTACTGTACTCACGCTCTGGTTTGCGTCTGGAGTTGGACGTGATTTTGCTTGTTTCATGTCTGTAGTTCACGCGGAGAAGAAGATGAAGGTGCAGGGGTCGGGTCACGTTTGTTGAACTGATGGGGTTCTTTCGGTTCCTTTTTGGAATGGAAATTGGGCTGAAAATTGGGAATATCTTTTCTTTTAAATTGTATTGTATGTTGGCCTGGGAATTGAATTGGAATGAGTTGCAGCTGAGTGAACTGGAGATAAGTGGGCTATAGAAAAATGAATTGAATTTTGGCCCAAAATTAGTCTCATAATTGAGTAAAGTTGGAAGACAAAGATGGATTAAATTTAAGAAGTAGCCAAATTGAGTTAAAATAACAAATTCGGCTAAACCCTAAATAAGATGAATTACTATTAATTAATTGACGAGCTTCTTAATTTTAACAAAAATAAAACAATTTATTTAAAGATGAACAAATTAAACTAAAAATATAAATTATTACTTAAACCACACTAGTTATCGAAATATTTTAACAAATCTAAAATCTTTTTGAGATGATTTTTGAATAATCACAAAATATACTAATTATGAACATAATTATGATATATTATTTAAAAATTATTTAAAATGACAAAACTATTCGAAATGACGTAAACTTAATATTTTTTCTTAAAATTTTATAAAACTAATTTTTTTAAATTATTCAGAAATTAAGAAGCTCGTGAATTAATTTTTATCGAGGAGAGTTAAAATTGAGTGTCAACAATTGTCCATCATTTTACCTGGAATGATGCAAGAAATTCAAGGAAATTGAAATTGAACAAGACATTTTTTACCGACCACATATTCATCTTTAGGTAGGATTAAGTACAGACTTTAGGAATTATGGCCGAACCCTAGACACGGTTTTCTACATATCTTAGGCTATATGAGAATTAAGGCCACTTGTAGTTCGATATGCTTGATTTAACGCACGATTTTGAAAGAGTTTGAAAGTCACTCTAGTACCGAATTATGAGGGGACCGGAATGCTCGAGAATAGGATTTAAGAGCGAGTGTTGAAATACAGCGAGTTTTCAACACTGAGCTCGCCTACATATCCTTATACCTTCGGAATCATGCTGCTTGTATTTTGACTCGATCGGTTGAAAAAAAAATCTCTTATGTTAGATAACCTTTGATTCTGTAAAAGTGACAAATAAAACGAGTATGAAAAGGAGGCTTGAAACCTCTTATCCATGAAGGTGGATTTATTCACATCCATAGGTAAAAATTTATACGAACACCAAAGCTCTTGGTGTATGTCACTTAGATTGGAAACTTTCTTCCTGCAGATACAAAAATTTCCGGAGGCGAGACCCAAATCAAGAAATCTAAGGGAAAACCCACATGCCTTCTAATAGTTGCATGGTTTTATTGTGGTGGAAATCACTCCTCTGCTTGCTTCCTAAGAGTTTGACACTCATCTTTGGACTATGTTCCAGTTCGTTGCTAAGAAAAAGTTCCACGTTGTATTGCATCTTTGTTGATGTCGTCCGCGCCTGTGGTTTGATTTAACAATTCATCCTCTTTGATGCTCTATACATAGACTGATACAGATTGTTAGTAGAAAATGTAACTAGAAAAGTGATAGTATATCTTTCGATATTTTTCAGTTACTCTTGATGTGAAAGATGTCACATGAGTAAGTTCAGTGTATATCGCTTTCGAACATACTATATCCGTTACAACTTATGATTTTCTGAGGATTCGGAGATGTCATTGCTTGTTTTCTGCATGGCAAAATCCGATGATCTTTGCAACGAGCTAGCTAGATCAATAATTATCCAACTGTAACGAGGTGGATGACTCAATATCATCCAACTGTAACGAGGTGGATGGCTCAATAATTATCCTACTGCAACGATGTAGATGTCTCGATAATATTCCAGTTGTAACGAGGTGGATGCTCGATGGTTATCCAATTGTAACGAGGTGGATGACTCGATAATTATCCAACTATAACGAGGTAGATGGCTCGATGATTATTAAACAATAATGAGGTGGATGGATTCATGATTATCCAACTTAACGAGGTGGATGGCTCGATAATGTTCCAACTGTAACAAGGTAGATGCTCAATAATTACCCAACTGTAACGAGATGGATGGTTCGATAATCGTATCACTGTAATAATGTGGATGCTCGATGGTTATTCAACTGTAACAAAGTGGATTCTCGATAATGTTCCAACTGTAACGAGGTGGATGGCTCGATAATAGTCTAACTGTAACGAGGTGGATAGATCGATAAATATTCAACTGTAACAATGAGGATAGCTCGATATATATGCTTCTAAAAATGGATTCATGTCGTGCTGCATCTTTTCTTTGATGTCGTTTGCACTTGTGGTTTGATTTGAGAATTCATCCTATTGGATGCTCTCGACAAATAACGAAATAAACTTGTTAGCAGAAAATATAATTTGAATAGAGAATTGATATGCTTTATTGTTATCGGCAAATATTCTGCATCAGCCTTTGTCGGTCTTGACATAATAGATGATGAGTTGATATGATGTGAAAATGATGCTCCATTGGTAGAATAATCTTAACGCTCCATTGATCGGATGATGATGTTCCATTGATAATCCTGTGATAGGGTGATGTTGATTTATTGATAGGATGATTATATCCATCAATAATATGATGGTGATGTCTTTCTTGATGGTGGTATTATCTCATTCGATAATACTGTAGAAATTTCCCTCTAGGAGGGTCTCACATTACCACGCCTGATATCGACGCAATTTGTAAATCTTCTTCAAATGTTCATGATTCTAAAGAGAATGTACTTGAATGTCATTGTAGATGCTTATACATGGTGAGAGTCATGTTTTCACTTGTTCATATTTGAACATTCCCACTCAATTGTAGCTCATGCTTTGCTGGAAATTTGAACGACGTGTTGTTGCTCGTATCTGAACTCTTCTTTTTCTTCTGAAAAACTTTAATGGCTTTCCTGCATCCACAGAAAATTTAGTTTTTAAGCAAATTGATCTATGTTGACTTCTTCAAATGTTTGCTTCGTAACTTTCTATCTTCAGTTGATCGCTCCTATCTCTTGCTTCTCGATGAACAAGACAAAACATTTATGCAAAATATTTGAAATAAATAAGAAAAAAGGTTTCAAAAAAAATTGTAACTGAAAAATGTCACTGCCAAGTATCTTGTGACGTCAAGCTTGATGAACGCATTTGGGGTTGATATGTCGAGATCTATCAGACAACTTGTCAATAGGATTCTGAACACTCTTAATGTTTTGACGATGGGAATCCTGAAATGTCAAAGATTGTTAAAGTTTATTTCTGATCTTCAAAAACAACGTTTGGGGATCACCTGAAGTTAATTCTGAACTCCTGATTATGTCAGAGTTATTCACAGCTACTTTAAATCTCTAATGCAAACAAGATGAAATTTTTTGAGGTATGTCCCAATTAACTGTCTTGGCGTATCTTGAACTATTGGTGATAAAAATCATGAAACTTTTTAGATCCTCTCACAAAATTTGTCCCAGTTACGATTCTCAACATAACTTCAATCTTGACTTGTTTGAGAGATCTTCTTCTTTAGAAATTTTTGAGTCCCCCTCAAAAATTCTGTCCAGTTTCTATTGTGAAGGAAAATAGAAATCTTACGGGAGATATGACCGAGCCGTTGTGGCGCCTACGTATCCCATTAAGGCAGAAATCAGGTCAAACGTAGTTCCCATCTCGTGGATTAACAAAAATAAGAAATTACAAAGAAATGATCGTGGCCGACATAGGTTGCCTACATATCTCATTCTTTAGAATTCAGGTCAGACATAGTTCATTTACAACAGATAATTTTCTAACTAAAGAACATAAGATAATTACAAACAAATGATGCATTATAGGGAAAGAAATAAAAGAACTCTGAATCTTAAAATAGCACATTTCTTGAATCATCTGAGTTGATTAACAACTTTAGATGAATATCTATGTCCATCATGACATGTTCGAACAAAATCATCGATGTATTTTCTAAGCAAACAGTTGAGTTCTCTTTTTCAATCTTCTCTCTGACGGACCCTATATCTAAATTTTTTGACACATTCATACTTTTCTAGATTTTTGGTTGTTGTATCATCCAGAGTCAACTTACCCTGAGTCTCAAACTGTTTCAAATCGTTGACAAGTTGTTTAAATAGCATGGCATCATTTTCATACTCTTATAACTCATCTTCATTTATTCCATTTTGTTCATCAAAATTTGTGACATGATATGATATTGGCCGGTTATATAAAAAAATTATTTTTACTGAAATCAAAAACATAGATTGTTTAATAGATAAAATTAAAGCAAGCAAAACAAATTCTCAAAATATAAGCGGCGCTCAATGAAAACAAGGAAATATGAAGTTTGGCCATTACCATGAGCCATTTTGCCTTTTTCAAAACATTACGAGGGAACTTAAAACATAAACGAGTAAAATTACAAAAAAAGGTGGGTCCTGAGCGTTATTCGAGCTACCACCAATTTTAGAAAATAACATAAAATTCATCTATTATATGTCGAGTTGAGCGAGAGATAAAGATCGGAGTGAAAGTCCAATTAAGCACTTGCTCCATCGGCTCCACATCTCGTATGCCTGGTGTCTCGATCATCTTCTTGGGCACATCATCACCTTTTTCCAAAAGATTCCTTCTCCGAGAACGTCATCATTGACATATTCCTCTGACATAAATGAGGCAAAGAGTTTGGTGGAACATGATTGATTCCATTCTTATGTTGATCCTCTCTCAACGCAAAATCAAAAGCTTGATGGTGTGTCATGCTCGTAAAATTGAGTTTCTCACTCATGCTTGGAGAAGCTACAACTTTCTCAAGGTTGTCAGCACCAGCCGGAACTATCACCTTTACCATGCACAACTCATCCTCCATCTCTATCATATTGATATTGGTGCCTCCATAGTTTGACTGAGGGTTACTGTAGACATTGGGTGCAACAGTCTTGACAACATTTTGATCGATTGAGTCTTGGATCTTGTACTATAAATTGATACGATCTTCAGTATCATGCCCAAAACTGTTGGAATGATAAGCCCATATTTGATCGGCTCGATAAAATTGGGAGATAGTACCAAGAGGCTTGCGCCCAACTGGATGAATAATATCTACCGCAATCAATTGCTCAAATAGTTTCGTCCGACTTTCAATGAGC